TTCTTCACCACGGGGCATGTGGGATTCTAGACCTCGGACCAGGGATCAAACCTGTGCCCCCTGCAGTGGAAGTGCAAAGTCCTAACCACTGAACCACCAGAGAAGTCTCTTTTTAACTCTTCTTTTCTTTACAGTTTATTCCAGGAGATTGGATACCATTCCCTGTGCTATACTGTAGGACCTTGTTTCTTGTCTAGTATAAATAGTTTGCATCTAAATCTCGAGCTCCAAGAGTCTTTGAAACTTCTGATCTTCTTATAAGACCTGCCATGTTTCCCGCCTGTCCTAAGGAACAGAAAGAAGCTTCATGAGCCCCTGTCTCCTGTATGGATGCCTGTGGAGTCAGGACTGGACCCCTGGACTTGAATTAGGAGCCCTCCAGCCCAGAGAGGAGGCATCCATCCTCTTTCTGTGTGGGAAGCTCTCACTGCAGGGAAGGGGCAGTAGGTACAGGTAAAGTCTCTAAGCCATCAGAAATGCTGCTTCTGAAACTGCATCCATCAAGGCTTTGCTTAGGGGAATGGATCAAGGTGTTTAAGCAGAGGTTATTCTAGATGATATTGGACTGACTTTGCCTGTACCTACCGGTGTCTAGAACACACAAGATGCTGACTTTACAGGTGATCATCTATGCCCAGCTCCACTCCGACCAGCCAAGTCAGAAGTCTTGGGCGTGGGACCTGATCCTTGTCAATATTTTAAAAGCTCTCCAAGGGGATACCAATGTGTAATCAGATTGAAGAACCACTGGACTAAAGTGAAACAAAAATTTCATTACCCTTCTTTGGATCTTTCATTTCCCCAAGAGTTTGGCTCCTTGTTGAAGGGTGGGGGTAGGGAGGACTATTTTCAGAATATGAGAAGAACACTCGAGAAAATCAACCCTGCTCACCTGCGTACACACAGACACACACACACACAGATACATGAACTAACAGATACACACAGACACAGAGGCACATATACACACACACAGATTCACAAACAAACAGATACTCACAGACACACACAAACACACACAGACACAAACACAGACATATACAGACACACATCGATACAAACACACAGACCCCAGAGACACACACAGACACACACACAGAGGCACACAGACACATGTACAAACATACACACAGACACACAGGCAGGCATGCACACACAGACACACACAAAGACACACACACTCAACATACACAAGCAAACTCTACTGCTCACCACGTCATTTTCCTCCTATTGAGAGTTTTGAGTTTCTTTATCTTTCTGAGCAGCCTTTTGCCATCAGACAGCTAAGTTCCCAACACTACCAGTGGGATTTCTGGAGAAAGACAAATATGGGGGTGCATTTGCCTTATTTCTTCATCTGTTTGGTATTACTGCCCCAGCAGCTTTGGCAAAATTTTGGAGATGGGAGCCTTCAGGGCCCCCAGTGCAACCAGCTGAGATTCCCCCATGGAAGATAAGGTTTCCTGAATTGCTGTAAGTCACTGCATTTGCGTTTGCCTCTGCCCCCTCAAATAAATCACTGCATTTGCGAAGAGAGGCTGCTTGATTGCATAACCCTGGTGTGGTTTCTTTTCCACGGGGCTTCCAGGTAGAAAGGGAGAGTCTGCAAAAGGCAGAGAAGCCTGAGATCAAGCAAGCTGGATGCAGGTAGGTGAGACAAACCCTCACCTAGGGGGCCTCCCCTTTCTCCGACAAGGAATATTAACGGTTTAGAAGAAAGAAACTCCTGGCTCCACTGTGAATCTGGAAGAGATGATTAATGAAGTTTACCTTTGGTGAAATTTTGGTACTAGACTTTGACATCTGAACCTCTCTTCATGCCACTAAGCCATGCTCACTTTTGAATAAGGAACATATAGGTTTTCTCAACCAACCTCTTTGGCCTGTCTTAATTTTGCTTGATTACTATTTCATTTCAAATGATTAAATGGCTAAGTTACCAGGTTGTGTGTGTGTGTGTGTGTGTGTGTGTGTTTGGGGGGATGGGAAGGAAAACGCATTCTGTGTCCTGGACTGTCATTGTAAACTCAGCTGGAGATAGGACATTCCAATAAACTGGCAGAAGTAACTTACCACTTTTAGAGAATGTCTGAACAGATGATCATGACTATGATGGCAACAGCTAACATGTATTGAACATGAAATATGTCAGGCACTGTGCTAACTGTTTTACATGTATAATTTTTTTTAATCCTCCCATCAAGCCAAAGAGGTAGGAATGATGATCATCCCCATGTTACAGATAAGAAAACTAAGGCACAGAAGGATTCAGAACCTTGTTCCAAAGAAACAAATCCATGGCGATTCCAAGTTACCAATATTTAGCAGGAAGGACATATATGCATCTTTCTGGTGGGAGTCTTCTCAGAAAACCCCACACATTTCTTATGGAAAGTGTGAAGGCTTCATCATCTTATGGAAAATGTGAGAAGCTTCATCATCCCACCCCTCCTCCCCCTGTTTCCCTTCCGTCTCTCACAGAGATCCTACTGCAGTTAAATGCATTGACTCACCTGACTGCAAATGAGATGCCTTCCCATCTCCGTGCCCTCCCTCTTCCTGTATCAAAATCTACCCATCTTCAAGTTAAGTACCACTTGTTCTATGGCGCCATCCCAACCACTCGAGTACAACCAGCTGTAAGAATTTTGTGTCCCCTGAATTCCACAAAATACTCCGCCTTTAAGAAATATTGGGCATGTCTGCAACAACATGGATGGAACTAGGGATAATCATACTAAGTGAAGTAAGTCAGACAGAGAAAGACAAACACCATATGATATCACTTGTATGTGGAATCTTTAAAAAATGATACAAATGAACTTATTTACAAAACAGAAATAGACTCACAGACATAGAAAACAAACTTATTGTTACCGGGGAGGAAAGGGGATGGGAGTACAAATTAGAAGTTCAGAATTAATAGACCCACTCCTATATATGAAATAGATAAATAGCAAGAACTTAGTGTATAGCACAAGGAATTGTATTTAACATCTTACAATAATCTATAATCAAAAAGAATCTGAAAAAAGAACACACATATATGTATATGTATATAGGCTTCCCTAGGGGCTCAGATGGTGAAGAATCTGCCTGCAATGCAGGAGACCTGGGTTCAATCCCTGGGTCCAGAAGATCTTCTGGAGAAGGGAATGACTACCCACTCCAGTATTCTTGCCTGGAGAATTCCATGGATAGAGGAGCCTGGCAGGTTACAGTCCATGGGGTTGCAAAAAATCGGACATGACTAAGGGACTAACACACACATATATATAAACATATAACTGAATCAGTTTGCTGCACACCAGAAACATTGCAAATCAACTATATTTCAATAAAAAATAAAATATGGAATAATGATTTTAAAAAATAAATATTGGACAAATGGTTCTTTCTATGTCTATGTTACAAATACCTACGTCATATAAGCGTATTTTAAACTCCTTTTTGTATGAGCACAGTGTCTGGCAGACAGCAGTTCCCTGAGAAATATTTTCTCACCATTATTTCGTGGACCAAAAAAGTCTAGATTTTCACAGGACAAGCATGTAATTAAACGAGAACTGTTAAGAATAGAAGGGCATTATAAAGTTTTACTTTAGGTACGCACAATTCTATTCCAGCTGGTGTGCAGAGACGGCTTTTACCCAGTTACCCATGGACTTTAAAGAGGTTTTAAACTGGAGGGGCTTTGCGAACTGCTCCCTTCTGGAGTGTATACAGCAGGTGTGACCAGCAAGACTGTCTCTACACGCATATTTCCACTGTGGACGCGGCTGTAGGCAGCACCCATCCATTCCATTCTAATTTTCTGAACCTCAGTATAACAGGTGGTGGACACTTTACAGCACCGCCGTAAGAACTGGTCAACACAGGGCCACACATTTAAAATATGCAGAAACAACAAACTAGATTCTTGAATCCAGTTCAAAAGAGTGTTCAAAACCGCAATCTTGAATGACAGAGCCATGCGTTATGCTAGTGGACACACACATTCCCACCTGGGAAGCACCAGGGCGTCATCTTGCACAGCCCAAAACAAAGAATTCCGGGTCTTCCTTTAAGTCAAGACTAAGGGGAGGGTGGGAAACGATCCTGCAGTGCGATTCCCCTTTCCTTCCTCCTGTCTCACAATGAGCAACTGCCCTTTTGGTTGTGTGTGTGAACTGCTTAAATAAGAAGCTTCTGCTAGATCTTATTTTCAGTATGAGAGAAGAAATCGAAATTCCCATTCCGCAAGCACGGCACCTTTTTCAGAACACAAACCCAAAGGGGCAAAAGGAAAGAGAACGTGTGTCATCAGGAGACAATTACCCACGACAATCAAACAACTGCTGCAGACACTCACCGAGGACCAGCGCCCTGGGATACTACATCTCGAGATGCAAAATTTATTTATGCCTGAACTTTCTTTATGGAAAACTGTTCAGGGGAAATGACTTGCTGCTTCTGCCTGACAAAGGAAATTTAGACAGCTCTTTTTCAACTTTGATTTTCTGAGAGCTGGGAATTGAAACTGCTGTCTTCAGAAGAGCTTTTGTTCAATTTTCACATCATGGCCTACGTAAGGGACATTTCATGAAGGGGTTAAGGTCCCATGATCGGGGTGTCCTGGGTGCGATGATTATTATATGCGCTTTCTTCATTGAGTCATTGATTTAAAACCCCTCAAAACACTAAGCACTAGCAAATTCTTATTGACACGGAGACTATGAAAACATGTCTACTGTGAAAAGGATTGACTGGGGATTGCCTAATAGGAAAGGCAAGAATACACAGACAATGATTTTTCAAACCTTATCACATGCAAAATGAATGCGCTGGTCTCTCTTCGAACTTATTCTAATTAACAGAGCCAGGCACTCACCCCATGCATTTCTAGCGCAGATCCTGAGCTGAAAACTACGAATCAAAGTCCTGTTCCCTTTAGCTAACAAGGCTGCTGGCAGCTTCGGCAAATAGCAAAAACAATGAAACAGAAGACTGCAGGTGCGTACCTTAACCTCCTGGTTGGTAAAGACCTCCACATCCACCACGCAGGCAACCAGAGTGGAAACATCACAGTCCATGCTAGGGGCTGGCATTCCCCCTCCGGAATTGACAAGAAAGAGTTAGGCAGCCTCGGAGTCCTGCGGGCTGGGAAGAACCTCCAGGTGGCTGGTGCCGGGGCCGGCCGGGCGCTGGCCTGCCCTGGGGATGGCCGAGCCGGGCACCTGAACCCACTCGGCTGCGCGCACGCACGCAGCCCGCCGCGGCTCAGGCAGCAGGGCAGAGCAAGAGCGGCCAGCTCTCTGATAGCGATGACATCACCGCAAGGGCTGACACAAGCTGGAGCTATTTTTTTTCCCCCAGCCTTTTATCTCTAGGCAGTGCAGTGGAGCAAATTGAACATGATTATGTGCTAAATCTGAACTCAGACTAAATCAATTCAGGCAGCAGCTCGCTAGGAACTGAGTCATAGCTGTTGTTTCAGCCGAGTGCTTATGTTTGCAAAAAGCCAGGGTGGGGCATGGTGGGGGGGCGGACATCTGACACCAGAGACTCTGTTTGGGGTGGGGGTGGGTGGGGGAATTATTCTGCCTATGAGCCTGCTGAGGTTAAGGTGTGACAATTTCTCTGCCTCAGAAAGGAGCAGGAAGTTGAGGCATTTTGCAAATTGCTTGGCTTCTGTTAATTGCCCTGTGCCTCTCGCAGACACTCATGTTCTGGGTACCCTAATGCATCTCGGGTGGGCATGGGCTAAATAGAAATCCATTCTTGGAGTGACTAAGAGAGCTGGGCATCAGTCATTTAGGCAGCCTGGTAAGAGGAGATAATTAGAGGTTTGTGAATGTCTATTTGAAGCACATTAAGTGCAGACCAGGAACTCTAAAAGCACCCCTCAAAGCTCTGGATTTCAGGCTGTCGCCAAGGTCATTCAAACCCAAAGTGGGAAGGAGTTCCAGCAAACGTCTCATGAAGGGACAGATGGCAGAGTCTAACAGGCAAACGCACTGATGTGGGTCATTGTCAGAACCTCAGGGCTTGATTTCGCCCGAGACTTTGAACTTGTCCAATGGCTTTTTCAGTCTCTTTTCGTGATTGTGAACCCCTGAAGGGCAGGGTTGGGGATAATTCATCTTTATATCTTGAGACTTTAGCCGAGTGTCTGGCATGAGAAGGCAGTAATTGTTTAATGTATGAACAAACCAAACGGGAACAGCCTTCACAGCAGAAGTGAGCAAAGGAAAAAGAAACAAAAACCCAAATCGTTTTCATTTTATCATTGGTTATAAAAATACTGGTAGAATGAACTGGCATTCTGGCAGGATCTATGCCCAGTAGAGTGCAGGTGCATCTTCTGTGGCTATCAGAGGTCACGATCTATAACAGACTGGTGCCTTTCTAACCCAAGACTGGACAAAGTGGCCACATTCTGCAGGCAGATGAGAAAGTGACCTTTTAGACTGAAGGCATAGAAGTTTTCTGGTTGATCCTCATTTTGGGTTACATGTGAGTCTAATGAAAGCAAAAGAAAGTGAGTCTAATCAGTTCAGCTCAGTTCAGTTCCGTTGCTCAGTCGTGTCCAACTCTTTGCAATCCCATGGATTGCAGCACACCAGGCTTCACAGTCCATCACCAACTCCTGGAGCTTGCTCAAACTCATGTCCATCGAGACAGTGATGTCATCCAACCATCTCATCCTCTGTCGTCCCCTTCTCCTCCTGCCCCCAATCCCTCCCAGCATCAGGGTCTTTTCCAATGAGTCAGCTCTTCGCACCAGGTGGCCAAAGTATTGGAGTTTCAGCTTCAACATCAGTCCTTCCAATGAATATTCAGGACTGGTTTCCTTTAGGATGGACTGGTTGGATCCCCTTGTAGTCCAAGGGACTCTCAAGAGTCTTCTCCAACACCACAGTTCAAAAGCATCAATTCTTTGGTACTCAACTTTCTTTATAGTCCAACTCTCACATCCATACATGACTACTGGAAAAACCATAGATTTGACTAGACGGACCATTGTTGGTAAGGTAATGTCTCTGCTTTTTAATATGGGGTCAAGTTGATCATAGCTTTCCTTCCAAGGAGCAAGTGTCTTTTAATTTCACGGCTGTAGTCACCATCTGCAGTGATTTTGGAGCCCAAGAAAATTAAGTCTCTCACTGTTTCCATTGTTTCCCCATCTATTTGCCATGAAGTGATGGGACCAGATGCCATGATTTTAGTTTTCTGAATGTTGAGTTTTAAGCCAACTTTTTCACTCTCCTCTTTCAGTTTCACCAAGAGGCTTGTTAGTTCTTCTTTGCTTTCTGCCATAAGGGTGGTGTCATCTGCATATCTTAGGTTATTGATATTTCTCCCAGCAATCTTGATTTCAGCTTGTGCTTCATCCAGCCTGGCATTTCGCATTATGTACTCGGCATAGAAGTTAAATAAGCAGGGTGACAATATACAGCCTTGACATACTCCTTTCCCGATTTGGAACCAGTCTTTTGTTCCATGTACAGTTCTAACTGTAGCTTCTTGACCTGCGTACAGATTTCTCAGGAGGCAGGTCAGGTGGCCTGGTGTTTCCATCTCTTTAAGAATTTTCCATAGTTTGTTGTGATTCACTCAGTCAAAGGCTTTGGCATAGTCAATAAAGCATAAGTTTTTCTGGAAGTCTCTTGCTTTTTCGATGATCCAATGGATGTTGGCAATTTGATCTCTGGTTCCTCTGCCTTTTCTACATCCAGCTTGAACATCTGGAAATTCATAGTTCACATACTATTGAAGCATGGCTTGGAGATTGAGCATTATTTCGCTAGCATGTGAGATGAGGGCAATTGTGTGGTAGTCTGAACAATCTTTGGCGTTGTTTTTCTTTGGGATTGGAATGAAAACTGATCTTTTCCAGTCCTGTGGCCACTGCTGAGATTTCCAAATTTGCTGGAATATTGAGTGCAGCACTTTCACAGCATCATCTTTTAGCACATCATCATCTTCTCATCTTTGAAATAGCTCAGCTGGAATTCCATCACCTCCACTAGCTTTCTTCATAGTGATGCTTCCTAAGGTCCACTTGACTTTGCATTCCAGGACATCTGGCTCTAGGTGAGTGATCATACCATGATGGTTATCTGGGTCATGAAGATCTTCTGTGTATAGTTCTTCTGTGTATTCTTGCCACCTCTTCTTAATATCGTCTGCTTAGTTTTTCATACCATTTCTGTCTTTTATTGTGCCCATCTTTGGATGAAATGTTCCTTTGGTATCACTGATTTTCTTGAGGAGATCTCTAGTCTTTCCCATTCTATTATTTTCCTCTATTTCCTTGCATTGGTCACTGAGGACGGCTTTCTTATCTCTCTCCTTGCTATTTGGAACTCTGTATTCAAATGGGTATACCTTTTCTTTTCTCCTTTGCCTTTAGCTTCTCTTCTTTCCTCAGCTATTTGTAAGGCCTCCTCAGACAATCATTTTGCCTTTTTGCATTTCTTTTTCTTGGGGATGGCCTTGATCACTGCCTCCTGTACAATGTCACATACCTCCATCCATTTTTCTTCAGGCAGTCTATCAGATCTAATCCCTTGAATCTATTTATCACTTCCACTGTATAATCATAAGGGATTTGATTTGGGTCATACCTGAATGGCCTAGTAGATTTCCCTACTTTTTTCAATTTAAGTCTGAATTTGGCAATAAGGAGTTGATGATCTGAGCCACAGTCAGCTCCCAGTCTTATTTATGCTGACTGTATAGAGCTTCTCCATCTTTGGCTGCAAAGAATATAATAAATCTGATTTTGGTATTGACCATCTGGTGATGTTCATGTCTCTTGTGTTGTTGGAAGAGGGTGTTTACTATGACCAGTGTGTTCTCTTGGAAAAACTCTGTTAAACTTTGACCTGCTTTGTTTTGTACTCCAAGGCCAGATTTGCCTGTTACTCCAGGTATCTCCTGACTGCCTACATTTGCATCCCAGCTCCCTATAATGAAAAGGACATCATTTTTGGGTGTTAGTTCTAGCAGGTCTTGTAGATCTTCATAGAACTGTTCAACTTCAACTTCTTCAGTGTTACTGGTTGGGGCATAGACTTGGATTACTGTGATATTGAATGTTTGCCTTGGAAATGGACAGAGATCCTTCTGTTGTTTTTGAGATTGCATCCATGTACTGAATTTCAGACTCTTTCATTGACTATGATGGCTACTCCATTTCTTCTAAGGGATTCCTGCCCAGAGTAGTAGATATAATGGTCATCTGAGTTAAATTTGCTCATTCCAGTCCATTTCAGTTCACTGACTCCTAAAACATTGATGTTTACTCTTTCCATCTCCTGTTTGACCACTTCGAATTTGCCTTGATTCATGGACCTAACGTTCTAGGTTGCTATGCAATATTGCTCTTTACAGCATCGGACTTTACTTCCATCACCAGTCACATCCACAGGTGTTGTTTTTGTTTTGGGTCTGTCTCTTCATTCTTTCTGGAGTTATTTCTCCATTGATCTCCAGTAGCATATTGGGCACCTACTCACCTGGGGAGTTCATCTTTCAGTGTCCTATCTTTTTGCCTTTTCATGCTGTTCATGGGATTCTCAAGGCAAGAATACTGAAGTGGTTTGCCATTACCTTTTCTAGTGGACCATATTTTGTCAGAATTCTCCAACATGATCCGTCCATCTTGGGTGGCCCTACATGGCATGGCTCATGATTTCTTTGAGCTAGACAGGGCTGTGGTCCATGTGATTAATGAAATCAGATCACCAATAGAAATATGTAGACTGATTTAACTGTGTGTGTGTGTGTGTGTACAGTTCTTACTGTGTTGTCTAGGGCACTGTGGGGAGTATGAAATTATGAAAACAGATAATTCAACTAACAGTTTCTGAGTGATGACTACGTACAGAGCTCTATCAGCTACTCTGAAGGACAAAATGATGAGATACCTCTAAAATGATGACTAAGTAAAATTCACGATCCTCAAAGGGCTTAAAATCCAGGGGAGAAGATGAGACATGGAGACAAACACCTACACAACACAGCAACGGTGGCAGTGGCAAAGGACGGGCAGACGGCACTTGGCGGGAGCACTGCAGAAAGAGAAGGGATGCTGAAGGGA